AAAAAATAAAAAATAGAGGGAATATGCTAATTGACTGCCATGCTCTCGCATAGATGGCAGTGCCCACAGTCAATAAGGAGGAAATATGCTAATTTGCTGCCACACCCTCAAAATGCAGGACCCACAGCCACAAGGTGGCAGCGCCCAGTCCCCTCAGCCCCACTGGGGCGGCAGGAATGTGGCAAGTCCAGGCCCACGCCCAGGTGGGTCTGACCACTCCATGCGCCTGCCTCCTGAGTCCCCCAATCCCCTTAGCCCCCAGCTGCCTAGGGCTGGCCCGAGGTACAGGCAAGCCTCGGATGGCAGTTGCCTAGCTGTCCAGGGCCACCTGAGCCTCAGGTAACCAGGGCTGGTTGAGGCTTGTGCTGCCAGCAGTGGCAGCAGCAGAGACGTGATGGAAGCATTGCCTTCCCCTGATTGCCGGGTCACCTCCTGCCCCTGAGGACTCCCGGACTGTGAGAGGGGGCAGGTTGGGCTGAGAGACTCCCCCCTCCAGTGCATGAATTTTCATGCGCCAGGCCTCTAGTCATATATATATATATATATATATATATATATATATATATATATAATAAAGTGGTAATATGCAAATTGACCTTCACACCCTCACATCACAAGATGGCCGCCCCCAATTATCACAAGATGAATGGCAGGGGAGGGCAGTTAGGGGCAACCAGGCCTGCAGAAGAGGGCAGTTTGGGGTGATCAGGCCAGTAGGGGAGTAGTTAAATGTCAATCAGGCCAGCAGGTGAGTGGTTAGGTGTCAATCAGGCTGGCACACAGAGTGGTTAGGGGCAGTCAGACAGCTAGCCAGGTTAGGAGCCAGCAGTCCTGGATTGTGAGAGGGATGTCTGACTGCCGGTTTAGGCCCGATGCCACAGGCCTAAACTAGTAGTCAGACATCCCCTAAGGGGTTCTAGATTGGAGAGGGTGTAGGCTAGGCTGAGGGACACTCCCCACCCAGTACATGAATTTTGTGCACCAGGCCTCTAGTATAGTGTAAAAGAGAATATAATGAGGAGAGTGTCCCTAAACTGTTCAGGCAATAGAGTGAGTCCTGAGCTGTCTTCTCCCATACAAAAGGAGGAAATGGGACTGTGCTGGGCAGCCTGTACTACCATTTCTTAACCCAGCCCCTGTGCCTCCGCAGCTGTCCATGCTGTTCACCGAGGAGTGCGACAAGGTGCGGGACCTGATGCATGTGCACTCGTTCAGCTATGACTTCCACCTGCGCCTCGTGCACCAGCATGTGGTGGGCACCCACCTGGTGCTGCGGCACGGCTACCACCTCACCACCTTCCTGAGACACTTCCTGGCCCACCACCCTGATGGGCCCCACTTTGGTCGCAATCACATTTACCAAGGTTGGTTGGTGCCCACGGGCAAGCCAGTGAAACTGAAAAAGAACAGGCCACCAGGTGTGGGCCAATGGGGCCACTTCCTAGGGCCACACTTTGTCTTTCTATCCCATGTTGTTAGTTGCCTCATATCACTTGGACCCTGCCCCCTCATCTCTGTCTTAACTTCTTCATAGTCTGTTTCATATCAAAGTTTAGATCCTATGTTGTATACCCTCCCCTGCCTGTCCTGAGCCACTTTGTCCCATCTCGATGTTCTACGGGACCTTAGGAGCTCTCCACAAAAGCAGGGCCAGTCTGCTTGTCAATCAGAGCCTTATGACCTCCTAATCCCCCAGCCCGTCAGATCAGGGTGTCTATCCCGGCTCACTGTCTCCTGTAACTTGCCCCTTAGGGACCCTGGAGCTTCCCACACCACTCATTGCTGCCCACCAGCTGTACAACTACGTGGCTGACCATGCCAGCTCCTACCACATGAAGCCATTGCGAATGGCTCGGCCAGGGGGCCCAGAGCATAATGAATACGCCCTGGTGTCGGCCTGGCACAGGTATGGAGGACAGGGGACACCAGCACGTTCTCTGGTGGAGCTGCAGGCAGGACCATCCTTACCGTTGGGAGACCTGTGTGTTCTTGGGCAGAAGGGGTGAGGTTGGCTTCATTAGGACCTCAGGCTGACATCTCATCCCCACCCACAGCTCCGGCTCCTACCTGGACTCTGAGGGACTTCGTCACCAGGACGATTTTGATGTGTCCCTGCTTGTCTGTCACTGCGCTGCACCCTTTGAGGAGCAAGGAGAGGCTGAGCGGCATGTTCTGCGGTCAGCAGATGCCCACCTTGAATGTGCCCATTGTCCAGCCTGCCCCCTGTCCTTGCCGTTTCCTGCTGTAACCACCACTCTTGCCCCCTCCTCATTCCAGGCTGCAGTTCTTCGTGGTGCTCACCAGCCAACGAGAGCTCTTTCCCAGACTAACTGCTGACTTGCGCAGGTTCCGGAAGCCACCCAGACTTCCCCCTGAGCCAGAGGCTCCTGGGAACTCTGCTGGGAGCCCTAGGGAGGCCTCAGGGGGTGGTCTGGTGCCTGGCCCAGCGCCTCAGTTCCCCCCGCTGGCCGCAGAGGTGGGCGTGGCACGGGCGCGGCTGGCTCAGCTAGTACGGCTAGCTGGAGGGCACTGCCGCAGGGATACCCTCTGGAAGCGCCTCTTCTTGCTGGAGCCACCAGGGCCCGATCGGCTGCGGCTAGGGGGGCGCTTGGCCCTGGCGGAGCTGGAGGAGCTCTTGGAGGCGGTCCACGCCAAGTCCATCGCAGACATTGACCCCCAGCTGGTAAGGAACTGTGGGTTCCAGAGGGGATGGGATGGATGTAGGGTTCCATGGGCAGCCAGGGTGGAGGGGGCAGGGTGGCTCTGGGACAGTAGGTCCAGGCCTGTGGACCTCCCCAGGACTGCTTCCTGTCCATGACGGTCTCCTGGTACCAGAGTCTGATCAAGGTTCTCCTGAGCCGTTTTCCCCAGAGCTGCCGCCACTTCCAGAGCCCAGACCTGGGAACTCAGTACCTGGTAAGTCTCCTTGACCTGCCTCAAAAACACAAACCTTCCTTGGCTAGAGATCCCGAGGGCCAAGTTCTGGAACCTCATCGGTGGTTGGTCTTGGAGGCTGCAGTCCCAGAAAGGACCTCTTGGGCTTTAAGCCTTCTTACTCCCCCACAAAGTGTGGCCCTCACACCACAGCACCAGCACCACCTGAGAGCTTGCCAAAATGCACGTGGGCCCCACTTCAGACCCAACTGAGACTCTGCCTTTCAGCCAGATCCCCAAGTAACTGCATGCACTGAAGCCGAAAGCACTGCCAGGAAGAACAGGTGGAGAGAAGAGCTGTGTGATAGGCACACGCTGGGGGGAGTAAAAGGTTAGCGATGAGCCCGTGAGAGCAGTGGTCCAGGAAAGGACTCTCAAGAGAAGACTCCACAAGGGAAAGTAGGAGTTGGTTCGCGGTGATGGTCCTGCAGCCTGGTACCGTGGGGAAGATTAGTCCCAAGGTGTTCTGAAGGGACATCGGGGATTGGCACTCAGGAGATCTGGGCAGCATCTGTATAGACAGGAGGTCCCTGCACCCTTGGGAGTGGGAGAGATTGCTCAGGAACAGGCAGACAGGAGGGGACAGTCCAGGGAGGTCAGAGATATAAAACCTGAGATAGCACAGGAGGCAAGGAGGGGGCTGTCAAGGACAGAGAACTCCCCTTGGCTGTTGGCTGCGGGGCCAGCTCTGTGCAGGGCCTCAGATAGATGACTTCAGGAACCTCCCCTTCGCTAAGATGAGGCTAGACAGGCTGACCTGGGGCCAGTGAGGTTGAGGACAGATTCCGTTTAAAGAGGAGATTCTAGGTGACTGTGGAGTGAGTGCAGGTGGGTTTGGGTTGTGGTGGAAGCAGCCCTTCAGCCTAGTCCCACCACTTCCAGGAGGCCCTCAGGAGGGTCTGTGCTTCCTCAGGTGGGACACCCCTCACTCCCCATCTCGTCTTGTCTTCTGCTGCAGGTTGTGTTAAATCAGAAGTTCACTGACTGTTTTGTGCTAGTGTTTCTGGATTCCCACTTGGGAAAGACGGTGAGAACAGGGGGTGTGGGACTCTGTGTCAGCCTGGTGGGAAGCTGTCCCCCAAATGCTCCACTCGAGCCTGCTGAGGTTGGGAGGCCTACCTGCCCTTCTCTCACCAGTGGACCCCTACTCTGTTCCCAGTCTCTGACAGTGGTTTTCCGCGAGCCCTTCCCAGTACAGCCCCAGGACAGCGAGAGCCCCCCTGCCCAGCTGGTCTCCACCTACCATCACCTCGAGTCTGTCATCAACACAGCCTGCTTCACCCTCTGGACCCGTCTCCTCTGAGGAATGGACGGCTGAATGTCACCGTTCCTCGAATTATGCTCTATAAGTTACTCACTTGGAGTAGGACTGGCCAGCCCTCTGGGCCCCAGCACCAGCCTGGACGCTGCGGGGCGCCAGCAGCTTTGCATCTCTCTGCGGGTCTGTAGCCCAGCCTGGCAGCAGGGACTACCCTCCCTAAACACTCACACTGCCCACCAGCCAGGGCTCTAGCAGGCCAGGTCGCCTCCTGAGGTTCCCATCTCTCAGGCCCCTGGGCCCTTCCAGAAGGGGACTCTTTCCTGCTCACCTGGTGGAATCCAGGGATTCTTCACACCAGGTGGCAAGCGCTCACCCGAGGCCTCCTCGGCCTGAATCCAGCCTCCAGAATTGAGCTCTCTGGCCCTTACTACCCGCTGAGAATCACTGGTGGGCATGGCCATTGAGATAAGACACCTGGGCTCCAATCCCAGCTCCGTCTCTGAAGCACCTGTGAGCCTGAGCAAGTCCCTTTGCTTCCGGCCCCTGGAGTCTCATCTGTACGTGAGGAGGTGGACTCAAAGCTCGCTCTCCTCCACAGCAACACTGCGGACTGGGGAACTCCGGCGGGAGCTCTGTGTCCCTTCCCAATGGGAGGGAAGCGATCAGAGAAAGCGAAGGGTTAGACACTGTGTGTCTCCAATAACATACGTGTATGAAATGCTCAGCAAGTGGTCTTTAATTCCAGAGGATACTCAGGATGCTCAGTTCGCTGGCCCAGAGGGGCGGGTGGGTGGACTGCGGGACCTCACTGGCCAGCCCGGGAGATGCCCCGCCTATCCCAGTAGGAACGTAGCCAACTCAGGCCCTCCACTGTGTCTCCTGAGGGGAGAAGGAGGCAGCAGCATCTCAAACCATGAGGAGGAGAACAGCTCCTGCCCAGTACCCGTCCCCCAGTTCTCCTGCGCCCTGGGCCAAGCCTGGAGCCTCAGCCTGCCCCTCACCTTGAGGCTGGTACTCGCAGCCGACGAAGCCTTTGTAGCCTTCGTCTTCCAGCAGTTGGAACAGATAGGGAAAGTTCAACTCTCCAGGGCTGCCAGGGTCCCCCCGGCCCGGGACCTGTGCCACCTGCACATGCCCTGGGGACAGGCAGGGGCAGATGTAAGGCCCAGGCTCCTGCTCAGGCCTGAAGGACAGGTGTGTGTATGTGTGGGGGGGTTGGGTGGGGGGGAGGGAAAGTAGGGAGAGCTTGGAAGAGTGGGGGGAGGACGAAGCAGAGCACAGCAGATGAGGAAGGAACAAAGAGGGGGACCCTCACCAACGATGGGCAGGAACTCCCGGATGTTTCCTGTCAGATTCCCATCCATGATCTGCCAGTGGAATATGTCCTGGGCAGAGATCACTCCAGTCAGAAATGCCTCAGGCCCGCCATGCTTCCCAGCTGGAGAGCAGGGCCCTCAGAAGCACTTCCTTTCTTCACGTACCATCTGTAGCTGGAGGTTGGGCCTTCCCACCTTCTGTAAGATGGCTGCCGCTGGAGAGAAACCGGGAGGGGGGGTGTGACCCGAGGAGGGCACAAGAATCAAAAGGACAGGAGGCGGCACAGGGCTGGGGGTCCTACCCTGCTGGGGTGAGTCCAGGAAGTACTGGGGGTCGGTGATGCGGGTGTTAATGGGCTCCAGCAGTCCCACGAGGTTCTCCTAGCACCGTGTTGGACCTGTAAATAGAGCTCTTCCACCCCCGTTTGGCCTCTTATCTGTCACTGATCAAGCCCCTCACCAGCCGCTCTGCCTCCGGCCAGTGCCCAGCCTTAGGCCTGGCCACTCTGCACTGTGCACCCCGTTCCCTGCACACTCAGACACATTCCTGTAAGCTTGTGTGTCTGTGTTTTCATTGTCACCTCACCCGAGCCAAAACGTCAGCTGCGTGCCTCAGGTTCTCCAGAAAAACTGTCTCCATCTCACCCCTGACTGCGGCTCCATCAGCACCCCGGGGCACTCGGCCGGCCATCAGGTGAATCCTGTGGGGAAAAATGGGACTGGAAGGGGCTGTGGAGTCCACCTCAGAGCAGGGCCTTAACTCCCTCCGCTCCTCTTCCAGCTGCCCTCCCGCCATGCCAGCCCTCCCATCCCCCAAAGGTCTCTGGTCCGTACCTCTTGGCCCTGGTGCCCAGGCCTTAGACACACCCGTGTCCGCTTTGGGCCAAGCCTTTTCCCCACAATCCCCCTGAGGGTCCTCCTGCCGCAGAGTCCAGTCCTCGCTTAGCCCCTCCTGTACTTTCAACCTCCTTCCCAGTGGCCCTTCTCAGCCTTTAAACACGCTTAAGTCTCACTTTTTTGACATTTTGACCCAAACCCTTCTTGAGAATTCCATGCTGCTTGTCTCTATTTCCTGAATGCTGCTGCTTCTCATCTGATTTCTGACCCCACCCCACCCAATAATGGCCCCTTATTGCCAGTTCCTTCTCAGCCTATTTAGAGCCGCAGGATTTGACATTTATTTGATCCGCCGCGCTTTGAGCCTTCCAACCTCCCACCACCACCTGATCTTTCTCGGCCACTTCCAACCCCAACAAGCTACCTCTCCAGCCTCTTGAACTTTGCTGAACACACCAGGCCGCCTCTTGCCTCCGGCCACAGCGTCCCTGCCTGGAATGCTCCTTCCATCGAGCAAATGGCCACTCCTTAAGCCCCAGTTCAGCATCAGTACCTGTAGGAGGCCGCCTCTGATCCCAGACAGGTGCCTACTCTGCTCCCACTGCCCCCCCGCCTCCGTGAATTGACCCGTTCTCCAACGGACCCCTCCTCCGATTTCTGTTTACTCTGCTATCTCCCAGGTCAGACTGAGCTCCCAGCATGGGATCCCAGCAGGAGGGAGGCATGAAAGAGTTGCCAACTGAGAATGACACACAACAAATATGAAAGGCAATTTACAAAGCACCGGGACCGCAGGGTGTAGGAGCGCCAGCGCGCTCCGACTTCTGAGCCTCTCAAAGCCTGGGGATGTCATCCACCCTCCAGCCCCTTCCCCCAAACACGTGCGGCGGGGTCGTGGGTCAGAGGGAAGAGAAAGGGCAGGTACCTGGGACAGCCCAGGGCCTTGGCGTACAGCACCGCCTGCTCCAGCCCCTCTCGGAAGGCCGCCTGCCTCCCGGGGACGGCCCCCAACCCCATCTCCCCCTCCTCTCGGTCTCCTGCGGAGAGAACGGAGCTCAGCGCCCGCCCAGGCGCGGGGCCCCCTCCCGGGCCCGGGCCGCCGCGCACCCGGAGGCGTGTTGATCAGCACCAGCTGCAGCCCCGCGTCCCGCGCCGCGCGCGCCAGCGCCTCGGGCGGCTCCGCGTACGGCCAGGCGACCTCGGCGGCCTCGAAGCCCGAGCTGCCCGCCGCCCGCAACCGCGCGGGGAGGCCGGGGAGCTCGGGGAACAGCCAGGACACATTGGCCGAGAAGCGGAGCGGAGCCATGGCCGGCGCGCGGAGCGGGGCGCGGGGCGCGGGGCAGAGTCCGCCGGACCGGAAGGCGGAAGCGGGTGGGGCGCCCGCGAGGGGCGATCGGAGCTCGCGGAGGTGCGGTGCCCCGTCCGGCCGATAGGGGGCGCGCTGCAGCCGCGAGTCAGGGCCGTGAGCTCTGTGGGCGGTGTCAGGTGAGAGAAGCAACGTGTTGTGAAAACCGTGGGCATTCCAGAAAAGTGAGATGTTTCAAAATAGGAGAAAGGGAAGCGCAGGGAGAGGAAAGAGGGCCGCGCGAGGCCAGGACGCAGGCAGAGAGAAGGTGGGGAGCCCGGGTGGCCCTTTGTCTGAGGTCGCGGTGGCAAGTAAGAAGCCAGCCTGCCTCCAAGGCCATTACAATGAAGGAATGAGACTTGAGCAAACACTTAGCAGTATTTTTCCTCATTGTGGAAATGGCATCTGTTCATTACAGGCCATTTGAAAGCTTATAACCAAGTAGAGAACATTTAAACCACTAGTTATCTCGCCAATCACCCATTAACTTTCCCTTACAGAAGAAAAAAATGAAAGTGCAGTTTTTTCCTTAGGAAATTTTAGTCCTACTTCATATATGGTTTTATAGTCTGCTTTTCATTTAATATTGTTATTATTATTATTATTATTATTATTTTAAATCCTCACCAGAAGTAGGGATATTTTTTCCATTGATTTTCAGAGAGAATGGAAGGCATCAATGTGAGGGAGACACATCAATTGGTTGCCTCCCACACGTGCCCCAATTGGGACTAGGGATCAAACCTGCAACCCAGGTAGGTGCCCTTAACTGGGAATCAAACTGGGACCCTTCCAAGTGCAGGACAAGGCTCTAACCACTGAACATGCTGGCCAGGGTGTCGTTTAATATTATTTTGTGAGCATTTGCCATGCCATAAAATAAAATTCATCTTAGTAAATTTGAAGAATAATTGGCTATATTAAATAATTCATGGACCAGGCAACATCTCATCTAGCAAGGAGAGATAGCCAGAAGAGTTACACAAAATGAAAGACTTTCTTAGAAAGAAGGGTGGGGCAAAAAGTGTTGGCCTAAGAAAAATATACTTGCCAAAAAGGACTCATCAGAATTGGGCTCAAATTCATAACCCGAGTCCAACAGGCACTGTTTCTACTGCGTTTCAGGGAAAGCCACACCCCACTGCCCAGCACTGGTTGACTCATCTGAGTCAACCCTTACAAAGGAGCTTCTAGGATCAAACTCAACCAATAGAACTGAGATTTTCCTCATCCAATCTTTACTAACCAATTAGAGGGGCTCCATCCCATCCAATCAAGACAGCGCTCTTAGGACCAATCCAACTGTGATGATTTGGAGTCCTCATTTTCATGAGAAGAGCCAATCCCGGACTGAGGTGGGAACTCTTGATAATCCAGCTTCCTCCTGTCTCCATTGAGTGCACTATCAGTTCCCACTGGAGACTACGCCTTCCCCTGCTGAAATGCAACCCCAGAACTGTTGCACCAAGGCAGCCTCACAGTCATGCTGTTTCATGATTGAGCTGTCACCGAGTTCTTTCACAATCGAGCTGTTTTCATTGACTAAAGCCTCTCCCTTCACCACACCCCATATTGGAAACTCCTGTTGGCTTCGATGACAACCTTCTGTTGACGAAAGTCATTAGCAAAGAAAAACGAAAGTTTATTGGAGGAAAGCACAAGTTCAGGGTAACCATGGATTACTGGCTGGGTTTTTTGCTGGGCTAGAAGAAAATCTTCCTCCTTCCTGGGTAGAAGATACAGCTTCCTTTTGGAGACACAGGTATGTCTTTTCCTGTTTGGGATAACTGCTGAGGAGTGGTAGTGGTGAGAGCCTCTTCTCAACACAAATTTCAGCTGAGGTTTCCTTCATTTTTATGCCTGTGTTCTTCAATGTTCTTCAAAAGCATTGCATTAGCTGCTCATTGTTCCACGCCTGGACAGCCCAGGGTTTATACTACTCTGTTGATGGACATTAGGGTTTTTCGATGTGTGTGTGCACACTGTAAAAGCACTTTAATGCATCTCTCAATCCCATCTCTGAATTGGTTTCTTGGGTTTCTTGTGTACAGATGCTCATTACAGTGTTTGGCTGCCCAAAGTACTTTAGAGTCATGTGACACATAAAGTTGTTTAGGTCAACAAGGAACCACATATATGACAGTGGTCCCATCTTATCTAATAAAGAGGGAATATGCAAATTGACCATCACACTGTGACCATCAAGATGGCTATACCCACAGCAGAGGATGAGTTCCTGTAATGAACCTAATGAGCAATCAGCAAGGCAGGACTTGACAGGGGACCTCAGGCTATACCTCCATGCCAAGTGGGGCTAGATGGGGGACCTGAGGCTGCACCCCCACCTGCTTGGCCGGGCTTGATAAGGGTGGGGCCGGCCGGGTCTGGATCTCACCCAATGTGGGTGAGGCTGGCCGAGTCTGAGTCTTGTGTAATTTTGAGGCACTGCAGGTGGGCAGGGACTTGACTCTGGGTCCCACAGCTTGCCCAGACTCTGACAGGAGGAAGGTTTTCATATACATTTTACTAATTTTCTTTCATCTCTGACACTTCTATTGTAGAGAAAGGGCAAATAGCAATATTAAAATTGTAGAGGCCTGTTGCACAAAGATTCGTGCAATAGGCCTTCCTTCCCCTGGCTGCTGTTACTGGTTTTCTTCTGGCACCTGGGACCCAGGCCTTCGCTCCAGCTCCAGCAGAGAAGCCAAGCCTCTAGGCTAGGCTTCTCTGCTCAGCCAAATTAACCTGCCATCTTTGTTGGTTAATTTGCATGCCCACTCCTGATTGGGTGGTGGGCATTGTGGAGGGAGAGTAAATTTGCATATTTCTCTTTTATTAGTGTATATTCCCTCTAACTAATCCTTTTTTATTTTGTTTTTTAAATATATTTTATTAATTTTTTACAGAGAGGAAGGGAGAGAAGGATAGAGAACTAGAAACATCGATGAGAGAGAAACATAAACCAGCTGCCTTCTGCATACCCCCAACTGGGGATGTGCCTGCAACCAATGTACATGCCCTTGACCGGAATCGAACCTGGGACCTTTCAGTCTGTAGACCAATGCTATATCCACTGAGCCAAACCAGTTTCGGCCCTCTTTTAATGTGCACAAATTTTGTGCACTGGGCTACTAGGAATATTATAATAGACTATCAGCAAAAAGTCAGTTTGTGATGTTGAAAGAAAGTACTGGACCCAACTATGATGTTGAACTTAACTACTAGCTCTCTGTGATATGAGGAGGCTCAGCATGCTGTCCACCCTCAATGTGCCTTCCTGAAGCTGGGGCAGGGAGTTGTGAGGGAGTAAGTAAATAGTGCTAAGGAGGAAGGGAGCTGGGAGCCTGCTGCCCATCCACACTTGTTCACACCATCCCTGCACTCTCACACACAAACACTTGTGTGCACAAACTCCCTTCCCTCCATTTCTCTTTCTCTTTCTCTTTCCTCACAGTTTGAGTCTTTTTCGCTGCCTCTCCTCTCCCCCTCTGGGCAGATTCCTAAGGTTGGAATTACATGGTCAAAAATTAGTAATAAGTTTAAATTCTTCATGGCTGAGCTAAATTGCATTTTTAAAATGCTGTACATTTATTCTCCAACAAGACCTGGGGAGAAGTCATCTTGGTCTTATTTTCTGTGCTAGCTTTGACAGAAGGAAGCTCAAAGTGCAACATTAGGAACACCCAAGTCCTACTTCTTCTGCCCACTATCAGCCTCCAAGCCAAGGCAGGCCCAGGCTGATCTCACAGTTTCCATTTCAGTTCTGCCTGTAAGAACAGGCTGCCACCAGCTATTACAGATCACCTGACTTCTTGCCCATTTGCAGCTGGCATTATACTTAGCACTTTGACTTGTCCTGGAACGTGTTTCTTGGGTGTGGTCCAATCAGGATGTGACCTCATCAAATCTAACAAGTTAATCAATCCAAACTTCAGCATGTTTACAATCCAATGTTGATCAAACAGAGTAACATCTAAGGGAAGTAATTTCTTTATTAATCCTTCACTGTAAATCTCTGAGCATGAAAATTCTAAGACTAGAAAAGCATTCTGCTGGGGTTTGAAACAGGAACAAAACTTGTCCAATCCTCCGTGGTCCACTCCTTCTTTACTGTACATCCGTTAGGGCAACAGAGATGGTGTATGTACTAGATAGGCCTGACTCACTTGCCCCCTTACCATAATTCCTTAAAAACATCTTCACTTGCCGAAGCCGGTTTGGCTCAGTGGTAGAGCCTCGGTCTGCGGACTGAAAGGTCCCGGGTTCGATTCTGGTCAAGGGCATGTACATTGGATGCGGGCACATCCCCCGGTAGGGGGTGTGCAGGAGGCATCTGGTCAATGTTTCTCTCTCATCAACGTTTCTAGCTCTCTATCTCTCTCCCTTCCTCTCTATAAAAAATCAATAAAATATATATTTTTAAAAATCTTCACTTAATATGTAAAAATAAATACAAAAGGAGAACAATGCACATGAAAATTATTTTCTTTATTCATTGTTTGACTATCCTGTTTCCTCAAAAATAAGACAGTGTCTTATATTAATTTTTGCTCCCAAAGATGCGCTAGGTCTTATTTTCAGGGGATGTCTTATTTTTCCATGAAGAAGAATACGGTAACATTTATTGTTAAATGAAAATAAAGGAAATTTATTACCTGTATACGGTATGGTAGTACGGTTTTTGTCAACATAAACCAAACTGTGAATCCTACAGTATCAAGAATTTACTCATTTATTCAATGACAATCATGTCAATGACAATCTTCTGGAACATCATCATAACAATCCAATTCCTGAATTTCCTGGTGAATTTCTTGTGACTCCTTTTCTTTCAGAATCAGTGGACCAAATCTCTCATGTTTAGCCTAGGGGGGCCTTATTTTCAGGGGGATGCCTTATATTTCACTCAGAAGGAAACCTGAAAGTAGGTCTTATTTTCAGAGGATGTCTTATTTTCTGGG